ACTACACCTACCACTACCACTACCACTACTACTACTACTACTACTACTACTGCTGCTACTACTACTACTACTACTAGTCTAAGGAAGGAGGCTGCCTCGCTGCGGGTGGCCCTGTCGAAAGCCACGGAGGAGCTGGCGCAGCTCAGGTGCCCCAGCTCAAATTGTTTGGCGTGCGTGCGTGGGTGTGTGTGTGTGTGTGTGTTTGTGTGTGTGTGTGTGTGTGTTTGTGTGTGTGTGTCTGTCTGTGTGTGTTTTTGACGAGGTTTTGTAGGGGCTTCTGAAAGGGTATTGTCACGGTATTGTTGTTAATTGAATCAGCATGAACTATCTAAGACTCCATAGTATATGTAATTTGCTCTCTGATGGTTGCACAGGGTTTTTATTGAGGTTTGCTGGAGGTTTGCAACAGGTTCCGGGTTCAGGCTAAGCAAAGCTTTTAAGGCTTATGATCCCTGGCTCAGGATTCGGGGTTTAGCAACTGAAACCCGCAACCCTGACCTGGAAGCCCTATGGCCGCATGGACTTACGGTTTAGTTTATGATTTAGGGTTTATGGTTGAGAGATCACGACCCTACAGCTCCAGGTCGGAACAATTAGCAACGCTATTCTCTTGGGTTCCGAATATCATTACACGGCAACATACTGTAACGCCTCATTCCAATTGTTCAGGCCCTGGCACTACAGCGACAAGCCTGCACGCCAGCCCGATACCAATTTTCCTGAATGCTGAACCGCGAACCAACAACAAAACTCTAGCGCAAGTCCCCAAACCGCTAAACTTTTAACACCTTACACAAAGCCTCGTGATGAAACTTATATTGTGCTCTGGTTCAGAGGCATGAAAATGAGCAAAAACAACATTCCTTTTTTACGTAATGTACCCCCAAACAGTATTCTACTTTCGAAGCCCCTTATGCGAACTTCGTCCTTGCGTAGCAGCCCTCCACCCAAACCCCTTTCAGAGCCCTGATATGGTTCCTTGAGAAGCGTGTGAACGGAGCCATAGCACCCTTAAGCAAAACCCCCTAAACCGAAAACCCTTAAGAGAGCCCCCACTCTAGACCCCTCGTACCCTTAAGTGGGAGCCCCAATTATAGAACCCTGTAGTACCCGTCAAAGGAGCTCTCCAGCCGATTTGGGTGTAGGGTTTAGGGTTTAGTCTAGGACAGTTTCAGGTGGGTAGCTACCGCTATAGGAGCCTTATAGAAGGTCTGTATACCTTACAGAACCCTTATAGAAGCACTATATTCCCTAAACCCTCAAAACCTTGAACCCCTAAAAACCCTAAACCCTGAACCCTATGATCCTTAAACTCCCCACCTGTAGTTTCCTTTAAGTTAGAACAGGCAACCTCTGAGTCGCAACGCCCAGATCGCTGCACGTCTCATCGCAGGCCTCCGCCGGCGCTTTACGCGGGCTACGGCTAAGGGTTCTACAAATGATCGAGAACAGAGATCTGTACAGGTTTAGGGTTTCGGGTTTAGGGTTTAGTTGGGGTCCTAAGCCCTGAACCCTCAACCCTAAACCCTAAATATTTGGGGCCCTAAACCCTAAACCCTAAACCCTAAACCCTAAACCCTCAAGTTTGGGATTTGGGCTCCGGCTGAGGGAAGAGGGACCTGGGGGTTCCAGTGCAGGGGGTGCGAAATTTTGGGGCTTTCCAGGGTGTAGAACCCGAAGGTTTCCGATAGATGGGGGTTTAGGGTTTAGGGTTGAGGGTTCAGGGTTTAGGGTTTAGGCTTAGGGTTTAGGGTTTAGGGTTTAGGGGTTCAGGGTTTAGGGGTTTAGGGGTTTAGGGTTTTGGTATGCGGGTAGTTCGCTAAGCTAGGAGTCCCTTTTTAGGTCCGGCACCCTTTTAAAAAGGACCCTAAAAGGGACCCTCATTTAGACAACCACCCATGTTGATAGTAAGGAACAGGGAATAATCGTGGTAGTTTTTTAGGCCCCTTCAGGTTTCCGGTTGGGGATTCGCGACTTGTGTTCGCAGGTTTGGTGGGGCGGCATTCGTGCAGGGTTTCAGGCTGTTGCAGTTCTACGTGTTCTGCCATGATGTCGTAATCAAAATTTCGCACCAACAAGACACATCCTAAATCCTTGCGGTGAACAGCCCAGCACTCTTAAACTGGTAGAGCCCTTGTAGCATCCTGATAGAACCTTTTTGAAGATCCTTCAAAGGTCTTGTTGCAGCACCTTGGATTCAAAACCCTTCAACCCTAAACCCTAAGCCCTGAACCCTAAACCCTAATCCCTCAGCAGCTTCTGGATGTTTCGGAAAGTCTTCTTCGCAGGCTTAGTTCTTAGTTAGGGCGGACACCAGGTTGACCTGGAACAAGGCCTGTTCGTTATGATGCGGAGATGATGATGCTGATGATGGTGATGATGATGACGCGGACGATCATACGGATGAGGATGATCATGAGCATGATGACGATGACGAACATCATGAGGGCTGAGGATGAGAATGATGATGTTCATGGTGATGATGATCATGATGCTGATGGTGGTGATGGTGCTGGCACGATGACCCTTATGAAGACGACGGCCATGGTGCGGTGCTGGGGATTTCCATAGTGGTGCTAACGGTAGTGGCTAGGAAAAGGAGGAGGACGCGGATGAAGAAGATAGAGCTGTGGATTCTGTTGATGATTATGACGGCGACGACTGCGATGATAACGAAGATATTCGCAACGAGCCCTCAGTTGCATCCTCCTCCTCCTCCGCCGCCTCCTCCTCCTCCTCCTCCTCCTCATCATCATCCCGGCCAAGAACAACGCCACCAATAGCAACAGCAACCCGATTCTAACGTCAAGCTAGTCAAGCTATAAGCCTCTCTCTGACGATGCAAAGGCAATGCTGGGGCATCCTTGCTGCTGAGTACATTTCTACCGCTGCTCGGCATTGTCCGTAACTTTTGTCTAATATAGGAGCCTAAATAAGTACCTATACGTACTATTTTGGGGTCTCCATATTATACTTATACTAATTATTGAGACCCCTACATTACAGAAGTAGCTCCCTTCGTATTTTTATGCGTGATAGGGTCGACCGGACGCAGAGAGAACCCATGCAGGTGCTGAAACACCATAGCGGTGGGAGCACCAGAACTCCAAAAGCAACGCCCTTCCCAGAGCGTGGGGCTTGGTGTTTCGCGTTTCCCTGTAGGGTTTAGGGGGTTCAGGGTTTCGGAGGGTTTAGGGTTTAGTACAGGGTTTCGGGTTCAGGGTTTTGGCGCAGGCTTTTGACATCTCGTCCCCAATCCCCAAACGCCGAACTCAAAAGCGAGCAAGTAACAAAGCTGAAGAGACAGCTGCGAAAGGCGGCAAGGGCGAGCCTCCAAACTCTTGCACGGCCGGTTTAGGGTAGAAGGAGTAATGATAGTCATAGTAATAGGGATAATCGTAGTACTGGTAGTACTGACAATGGCAGTAATGGGGATAATCGTAATATTGAGAGTAATGATAACAGCAGTGGTAGTAATTCTAGAAGACGTAGTCTTGAAAGGGGTTTCGCCCATGGACGAGGAATCCTGGGTATCCTGTGAAAACGCCGAGCCCAACCTGTGCAGGTCACAGAACTGTTGGTGGAAGCAGGATTTTGGGGGTTGAGGGCCTAGTGTGTTTAGGGTTTAGGGTTTAGGGTTTAGGGGTTTAGTGTTTGGGGTTCAGGTTTTTGGTTTGAACCGTGCGGAAGTCTGAAGAACGCGTCACGGCACTCTGGCCGGACTTACGGTTTTGATCCAAACTGCGCACCCCCTCCTCGCGGAGAGTTCTCAACCGCTCGGCCGCTGCGATGGAAAACGGTTTAGGGTTTAGGGTTTAGGGGTTTAGGGTTTACGGTTTAGGGACCCTAAACCCTAAACCCTAAACCCTAAACCCTAAACCCTAAACCCTAAACCCGTTTTTTTCTCCCATGTCCATGCTTCCACCATAATGGTATTCCGGACACCTTCCAGGCAGAAGGAAAAGAGGTGATAAGGAAACCAACACCGTTTTTTGGCTGGTCCTCATCCGGAAGGATCCCTGTCTCCGGGCTCGCTTTTCAGGGAGTATCCCATCCAACAACCTTGTTTGGTTCTTTTTTGGTACACCCTAAACCCCGAACCCAAAGCCCCTCTTTCAGGGGATCCCCTGATGAAGGTGGTCGCGTCTCTGCCGCGAGGAGCGCAGGAAGCGGGGCGACGAGGCGTGGTGTCACTGCGAGGGGGATTGCTTTTATCGTGATTCTTTTGACAACGACAATGATCAGTTTTATAATTGAACGGTCAGAATCGTCGTTATTATTGATGGTATGTATTGCCGTTACCATTACACCGGTGACGACTATTTTCATTATCGATATACGGCTTATGAAAAAGAATTTTAAGCTTCTGATTGCGGTTCTGGTTTCGGCCATGGTCCTGCTTTGAGTTATGGTTTTTTATGGCTATGAGGACGATGATGCGGTGTAGGGTTCAGGGTTTAGGGTTTAGGGTTTAGGCTTCAGGGTGTAGGATTTAGGGTGGTGATGAAGATGAGTATCGAATGGTCCTGCGATGATTGTCGTTGTTGTTATGGCTGTTACTGTCGTAGCACATCAGGTTGCAATTTTTGCGCAGGCTTGCGGATAATCATGCTGGTCGTCAGCTGAACTTCATAGTCGGACTTAAATAAGTACCACAACTATTCCCTCGTAGTCCCTGTTGTAATACAGCCCTGAACAGTTAGTAATGCTATCCCCTGAAGGTTCCTTCATGTGGGTAGTTCTCTAGACTAGGGTCCTTCTCTAGGTCCACAATATAGTACGGCACCCTTATAACGGGGACCGCAAAAAGGACCCCAATGTAGAGAACTACCTATACCATTATGGATACTGAAGAGCCCCAAACCCTAAACCCTAAACCCTAAACCCCAAACCCTAAACCCTAAACCTTAAACCCTAAACCCCAAACCCTAAACCCTAAACCCTAAATGGGGGTTTTGGGGGCTTCGGGTTTTGGCTTTAGGGTTTAAGGCTTAGGGTGTAGGGTTTATATAGGGTTTATATAGGGTTTAGGGCCGTTTAGGGTTTAGGGTCTAGGGTTTAAGGCTTAGGGTGTAGGGTTCATATCGGGTTCATATAGGGTTTATATAGGGTTTATATAGGGTTTAGGGCCGTTTAGGGTTTAGGGTCTAGGGTTTAAGGTTTAGGGTTTATTTAGGGTTTAGGGCCGTTTAGGGTTTAGGGTGTAGGGTTTAGGGGTTTAGGGTTTAGGGGTTTAATGTTTAGGGTTTAGGGTGTAGGGCTT